ATATTTTGTTGTGCCTTTTTACACCTGATGAAGGAAGCTTGTGTTGCCTCCGAAACGTCGTGATTTAATTGATTTATTTTCATTTATTATTATTATTATATTTTTTTACCTACGTGACTTTACCGAAAAAAACCTAAGAGTATGATCAAATGTGTTGCTTTGCAGTGGCCTTTCGAAGTTATCCCCGAGACATATGTTGTATCGGACACCTCCACCGAGTTTTAAATTGTATACGAGACCCATTACCAGCATCTGTGGGTGAGAGCCATCACGACGCAGCCCAACATCCAACACGGACAGACGCGCGAACCGCGGTAGAGTTATGACGCACGTCTGATGGATCAGCTGTTTGTATTCGCCGCAGCCTTCGGCTTCAAATGCATGCTCATAAAATGTGGTTGATAAAAAAAAAATCGGCGAATGTTGGGGTTGCCCCTTCAAGCACTGTGGGTGAATTAGAATCTCGTGGTCAACACCTGCTCTGCCAGCCGCTCGTGCAGTCCGCCGGGCGGCAAGTGCAGACGCGAGCAGCAGCAGCAGTCGGAGAATTTCTATTTTAACGAAAGCAATTGTCAGTTTAACACGTAGGCTTTCGCGACCAATATTATTCATAATCAACGTTTTTGGGTTTAGATCGCGTTATTTATAAATGTGTCGTAACCCTCCACCACCCGACACGGCCAATCAGTAAAAAAGTGTCACGTTGAAAAAGGACAAATAGTTCACTGCTTTAGCCCACCGGTGTGTTGAAGCGTGAAACCACAACATTTACAATTTGAGTACGACATTTCGCTGGTAATTGCATCCAGCATCATCGAGCAATTCGCCAGAATGATGAGGCTCTGCTCTGTCTCCCGTTCTTATATAGAGCAATTGGCCCACACATATGTGCGTCGGTGCCCAGTTTTGTAATTCGAATTTTTTTGTTCATTATATTCGTAAATTTGGGATCTTGTTCCAGGTGTTAGAATCATTTACTTTGTCGCACTTTAACGAGTCGCCGTCATAGGGAAAGTGTCGTCGCTTGATACCACGTGGCACCCGTTTTGGTGGGAAAACACAGAAATGATGTTACCGATACAACGTCCCCTGCGGTCTGTGGATACATCTGCAACAAAATGTTTTTGTTGTGATCATCCGAAATGTCTTTTCTAGGCCTGATGTTCACATTTTTCAGATAAATTAGAAAATTGGGAGCGCACTCCTCGTGTGTAAAACGCATATTGATTAACCAAACTAAATATCGCATATCATATAGGTCATTGCATACCACTAATGTGCTATAAATATGCCTGATCTCATCGTAATTCGGACACTAAGCAGGATCGATGCTAGTTAGTACTTGGAAGGTTTAACAACCACCAGGGCTTGCCAGGTCTTGTAGGCGTGACAGTGCCACGTGTCACTCCCTTGCATGCGTGGTGGCTCTCTCCGGGAGTTCCCATTTCCTCCCGAATTCCAAACACTCACAAATGGCATTAGCCTAATATCCAAATGCAGCTAGGACCCTCTTGAGACGCAGTTTAAGCCTCCCTGGAGCAACAAATGATTGTTTTTGTCTTGTCAGTGCGTAATTTCAGCTGAATCTGTCTGGGTCAGTGACCCAGGACGAGTTCTGCACCCCGGCACACCACATCCAGGATGCATACTTTTAGTTGTTTTCGGTAAAGCCACGTGGGTAAAAAATAAAATAAATTAAAATGAAAACCACTAAATTAAATCACGACGTTTCAGAAGCAACACAAGCCTTCGTCTTCAGGTGGAACCGCCACAGCAAAATTACTGTAGTGAATGAAGAGAGCTGTTTAGAGAACCGTGATTATATAGGGTAAGAGGGGGGGAATTAGCTGATTAATAGTTAAGATAAGGGTAAGTGTAAGATAAGTGAGGTAGCCTGGGCGGACACAACATTGGGGTACAGATCGTAGGGAGGGTGAGTGTGAGGGCAGGGTGTGGGCTGGGAGGTGTGCATGGAGTTCAAACTGAAGCTTTATGATGCAGGGGGCGGAAGTTGAGCTGGTTAATGACAAAGCGAAGTTAACATCCAGGATGCCTTTCACTATGGTTGGAGCTTCAAGTCACGTGTCACGTTGCAGTCTACCAGCGAACTGGGTAAATAATTGAACTCGTTATCTGGTGGCACTGCGTTGGCAGTGGTGCACAAGCACAACCAACAACAATCTCAACATGTTCCATCAACAACGCTGTGGCCTTGGAAGGAACTACCTACAACAGGTGACGTTTCGGGCAACGGCCCTTCTACTGAGCACTATATAAAGAAAGGGCCCTTTCCCTGTCGCCTATAATATATTTTATTTCAGGGTAGTGTTATCTATTTTCTTTTAGGATGAAGGGCAATCAGTTTCAAAGACAATGCTTACAGAGGATGATTGTTTCCATTTTTTTGCCACAAATATGCGTGGTTAATGCAGACTTGATCCCTTGCAATAGGCATCTATTTAGTGTTTTAACATTTAACACCTCCTGTTTTATTGCCAGAAAGAGCAAAGCATATTCTTACATATTTTTTCTCTCATAATTTTGATACTGACAAAAAATGTCCCATAAGATAGGGCAGTATTGTAGACGAACGTGCGGATGATTTATTTTTACGCAAATAATTGGCAGTCGCAGGAAGTGCAATACCTTCTACTGACATCAGTGGCATGCGACCATCCAGCTTTAATGCAGTGAGTTTTATTAGCATGGAGAGTACAGAAGTCATCAATCTTAGCCATTCTTGTTATGTACGCACGTAAGAACACACCACCGAGTTCTATTATACACATATACTGAGCTAACAAAACATTATATGTACACAAAAGCTTACCTTTGTACATCAATCACTGGTAAACAAAAAAAGTTCCATTTATACTAGACTGTATATATATATTTGTACGTTAGCATTAAATACAATGTCATTGGTAGATGGGTAATAACAAAAACACATTTCATGAAACTGGCTTTGGGAGTCATGCTCGAGATCCGTGTCTCATGGTCTTCTGTGAGTTAATGAGCCTGCAAATGCAAACTGTTGAATGACAAAAATGTTCACTGCTCATCAAGATATTCACGAAGTATGGCCAAACAACACTCCCATGATGAACACGGCATGATGAGGGCCTTAATCCTGCAGTGGTTTAATACAAAGTTGTAACTTATGAGTATTGTCAATGCGATGTTGTTTAATGCTGGGCGCGAAGCCATCAGTGTACCGCATATCTTTAGGATAAACTCTTTGCCAAGCGCCTTTGCCACTGTATATGCTCACACAACAGGTATCACGGATGGGCCATATGCTTTGGATGGTGGAAGAACAGCTGCCGTTCACATTTCCAGGTGGATATGAACTCGTTCAACTACTTTACGTATTTATAACGTTACATTTATTGACAGCTCGTTTGATACATGTTAAGGCCGCTGTTTTTGAGTTACGCTTGGGGGAAAGCTGTATTATTTTATTTCAAGTACGTTTTGCAGCGGAGGGCTCTGTGGAACTTTGTCAAACAATTTGCCTACCAAATGTCTCCTTAATTTGTCAGACAAAGACACAAAGGGGATGTCTCGGCCCACTCCAGTCCACAACAGAATACTTCTATTCCCCACGTGGCCAATGCAGCTCTGCACCAATGTCTCATCTCAAGTCCTCAAGTCATACAAAACTTTAACTAAGCTGATAGGGGGCGGGGGTGTTGGGGAAATCGATTCGCAAACCAATGATATATTCAGGTGCAAACCAATTTTTTGCACTTACATTGTTCTAAGTTTGTTTGTTGCTCGTATTTATCCTGAGCCCAACTTGTGAGCCTCCATTAACTTGTCCGAACATTTCCTACCAGTTTGTTTTTCGATCGGACGTCAAACACATTGTTGTTATCGCCAAATCTGTGGTCACCAACTCGAGAACGGATCGCGAGAGACGGCTTCGGAAGGCCTTCGACCCGCCATTGGATTGGCCGTGGCTGCTGGCGGTGATGATGATGATGCGATGATGACGACGATGACCAGAGCCGTCCCGAGGGTACGGAAAATTGAGGTGACTGCCCCGGGCCTCGCATTTTGAGGGGGGGGCGCTTTGACGTCACGGTGTCAGATGTCATTCTTTCGGTTTAGTTTTAAGGGGGCCCACCACCCCACCCCCCATGGACGGCCCTGACGATGTACGACTGCAATTTGATCACATTGATGGCGCATTGTTAGAACGGTTCGTAAATAGTTTTGTTGAAGACATTGCGAGTAAAATGTTGGGTACAAATATACACAGAGCACATGGGATGAACAAGTTAGTGCCAACGTTTAAAAAATATATATAAAAACAGATACAATGCCAGTTGAAAGAAGAAGAAAAAACTAACTTTTACTATGACCAACATAAGGTAACCACCAACAGACGTGATTTTTATATATATAAAAAAATATACATATCGAAGGCATATTAAAAGAAAATTCTGTAAACTTTAAAACATCAATTTCCACAGTAGCTTGTTTAAATTTGTATAATCCTGTGGTATAATGCATCTTAGTAATGAAACAAAAATACTAATGACTGACCAATGCATCTCAATAATAGCAGTGTTTACTTTCATTCTTAAATCATTTATTTCCTCACTTCTGCTTCATAGATGCAAGTAGGGTTGCCACCTCTGAGGTATGAAGAATCCTTGGGGTTTATCATGGAAAGAATAATTACTCACAATGCCAGCAGAGGGGAGAACTACATGAATATATACGCTGCCTTGAGTCGTGTATCTTTACACAATTGACAAAACACCAGGAGTTTGATTTTCCTTGCAAGACTTAAGATATTTTCCCAGGAGATGTCCCTCAAAGAGATCACGATCCCGGGAGAACCAGGATAGGTGGCAACCGTAATCGCAAAGCAAAAATATACATCTGCAAAGTAATGTTGTCTTTAAAACAAAATCTTTCATACTGGCTTCATGGTGTGGCAGTGTCATTCAAAACATATTTCTACTTAATGCAAAAAAAAAGTGAAATGAAATCAAACATTATTTGACTAAATAAAAAAAACATTTCAATGACACATGCAGGCCTGCTTAAGAAAATAAACTCTGCAATATAAACAGGTGCAAGCACAATAATAATTCCCTCCTTTATACGTCGAAGGGTTTATCGTAAAAATGTCTTCCCTTTGTGGGTTATCCTCAGGGCGTTGTTTACCCGTCAGAAGCTGTTTGAAGTTCTGCCGTTGAAATGTTCCCGCACAAACATGTCCGTGAATCTAAAGCATCGCTGTCACATAAACTGTTGCCAAATTTGCACGTCCCGTGTATTAAATATAGTTTTGTTTTTTGATGGGTGCCCCTTTTTTTTGTTTAATCATGGGAGACTCAATAGAGCATGATGTGCTCTGACCGGTTTGGCGAGAGCTCTGTATGTATGCACGTGGAACTTCTTTCGCACCGTATGTAGCCAACCGTGCTAATCGGAGGTGCGGGAGAAGGACAACAACCGTAACACTAAAGGAATGAGTTTTCAATCGAGATGATTTAAAATTGCATAGCTCCAGTCACAACCTAATATCGAAAGGAAGAGCGTTCCAGACGGCTGCAGAAGCACATCTGAAAGCGCACGATGCAGTGACCGTCTTTATTCGGTGGCGAGCCAAAAGCCGCTGCGAGGATGAGCGGAGTTCGCAATATCGTTGATGCTCCTTGACGAGACCAGCAAGGTATTGTGGGCCATTTGTGACAAGCACTTATACAATGCAGCACCATTTCAAAAAGCTTCTACCGGACACGGTCAGAATCGTAATCTTCATTTCGACAGGAAGAATCCGATGAGCTATGAAGCTCTTTTTCACAGAAGTACAGTAGGGGCCGGTCAACAATAAACAAGTCTCGATGTGCCACACGAATCGACCGACTCCAAATGCAGTTAATGTACAAACTGGAAATTGCATGCCCTGCTGTTGATGGAATATATATTCAGTACATAGTTTTAATTAACTTTGCTGCACTAGTGCTCAGGGCTGTGGATACTGAGAGGCCAACTAAATAAATCTGTATGTATATTTAGCTTTGAAACAGTAGAATACCAATACTGTAGCACTAATTCTGCAGGTAATTTGGTAATTAAAGCCAAATAATAAAGATGTGTATCACTATCAGTCACGTGCCACATTGTTTTAGTTTTGTTCATTTTAACTTTGATTCAGCTTTACAACTCACATATCATATTTGTGAAACCAGAACTGCAATAACCAAAGTGATGGTGCATTTGACATTGGACATGGATGGTGGTTAAAGAGTGAAGGGAAGGAACCGACCAAACAATGCAGAGCTCCCCCAAAAATGTAAAGAACTCGAGCCCCCCACCAAACGTAATCAAGGCCTGCTTTATAACAAGTCGGTTCTCATGAAGTTGGTCGTTCATTACCAAGGCACCCTCTATACTTCGTCACGTCAGAGGATTGCGAGATACGGCGATGATTCAGGGAGGCCTTCATCCAGCAGTAGATTGGCAAAGGGCTGCACACTCTGAATCGGTATTAATATTAATTAGGTGAGTGCCACAGCCTAAATTCCAAAATTGGAAACCACCCTAAGCTAAATTACATATATAATAATTATTATAAAGCACACCTGTGTGTTTCAATTTCCAGGGTGCTGTTACAAAAGGCAGCACATCGAATCGCCCACTTATTTTGTGAAACAAAGGAAGAACATGTCCTGGCTGATTTTCATTAAAAAAAAAGTGGCTTGCACCCTCGGATTAACGTGACCCAAATGATTTTTTTTTACCCATATCTGACTTTTTAAGCAAATTTTTACACATTCAAGTTTGTGAATAATAACATCAAAGGTTAAAGCTGCAGCCCCTGCAATTGCTTTGTTCACGCCAATTCTAGTCACAGGACCTCCACGAAAGGGAGCTCTATGCTCTGTGCAGCCCGTCTCGAGAGCTCTTGGCCTTTCTCCTCCAAGCTGGGCAGACGTTTTATAATGATACGAGATGGTTACTTCGCTGAAAGAAAGCACTCGGTCATTGACAAAATGGTGGTGGTTGGCTTAAGACGCCGCAGGTGCTGGACTTCTCGCTAATAGGGCTCAACGCCTGACTCATAGCGGGCGTTGAGTAGAACACGCAGGGGTCTACATGAGACGAAACTAAGCGCCATTATTCCCGACAAATGAGCGGCTATCCGAGCCAATGCTGTGACTTGTTATGCACCATAATCACTTGCGAATTATCTGGCAGAATGAGTAGTGCGAGGTGATTCCACACGGGGGTAATTGCGGGTGAGTTCATCAATTAAATGACTGTGCCAGCCGGAATTAAAACTCGGGCACAGCCCCACTCAGTGAACTGTAATTACTTTAAATGAAATAAGAGAGGAAGCAGTCTTAACTAGTTTTTTTTTTACAACGCAGGGTATTATTTTATAAGTCGAAGGTTTACTGTAATGGTGACAAATGCCACTCTAAAACAATATTTAACCATGGAAATTTTTTTTTTTTAAATACCAAGTGTACGAAAATGGAATTGTGAATATGGTAACAACAAAAACTTAAAATAAACGTGATATAACAACCGGGAAATCCACGCCGCAAACGTAACAACGGTTAACCCAATTAAATGCCGTGGAAATTGCAGGAAATGTGGATGACCCCGATTTGTAATCCGCTGAGTTCATGGCCAACGCAAGAGGGAGGCGAGTGGGGAGGTTACCGCCGTGAAATGGCCGCCCACTGGATCGGAGCCACGGAGACATCGTGAACACCGCCCCTTAAAAAGATGGCTTTTTGCAAACAAAAGGCACTATTATTTTTTACTTGAACTCATCGTTTTCGGTCGTTGAAACGGGGCCATACGCCACGTAATAATATTAATGACATTAATGATAAAGTTATTTTTTTACCATTCTAATATTGTTTACATAAATATGGCTTAGTGCAAAAGCAAGAATGCGTTTTTCTTTATTTTGCTTCGAAATAAACCTTTTCATTATTAATCATCGGTTAATACATGTAAAAGCACGTACAGTTAATATTAAAGGAAGTGATATTTGTATGCTAAAATTTCAACTGTACAATGTTTTAACTTTTTTCATTCATTTTCTGTAATCCTATTAGGTGACCACACAACAAACTAATAATTTCAAAAAAATAGCAATGTATATACCTCGAAAGTGGAAGCTAGAAAATGTACAACACTCACGGAAGACTGGAGGAAACAAATCTTATTAACTGGCATTGAAAACACGTTTACACAAGAATGTTAAATGAGATGGCCGCAAAGAAAATAGGTCCATCATTTCACTCATTCTATTTAAATTGTGAGAAAATTAATTTAAAATGTAAAAAAAGTTAAAATCTACAAACAATCCAGGTTACGTTGTCTAAACTCGTTTTAAAACATGCGGTTGCATTTCGATATAAGCATGGATTAAAGACAAGGCTATTAATTGGGTGGTATTTTATCAAGATGTATTATAAGATTGATGTATTTTTGCCAATAAATCTAATTTCATTATTTGGTCAGCCAGACTGCACTCCCATGGGTAATACAATCAGTTACAGAGACCAGTCAAAACTGTGGTGTTTTTTTTAACGATGCATTTTTCAGGAGCTATCTAATTTCCACGAGAGGGCTAAACATAAATTACGTCCAAAACAATCTTTGGATGATCATAATTTTCTGATTTGTGGTTTTTTTCTACCAATTATGCACTTTTGGTATTAAGTTTTGCCTCCGATTTGCTTCATTTGACACGTTTTAGTTTTCCCGAACAAGTGCGCTATCATACGGAAGTGTGGCTTGGGTGAGAAGATGATGAGGTGAAAATACTTGCGTGACGATGCCAAAGTAAAACTGATTACAATAGAGATCAATAATTGCATTGCCCCGTCATTGAAACTCACAATTGAATGCATTCCGTTTGACTTGTGCCCTCTCGCAATGGATATTAATGGTTCTGCATTCAATGTGCTATTAAGAGCATCTATCTACTCAAAGTAACAATTAAGCTTTAACTATATCAATTGCAAGTGGGAGATATTTAATAATATATTTAGCTTTCTAATGGATCAATTTACAATTGCTGCAACGTCTTAACCATTTACATCCACTAACAGTAACAATGTAACACTAATGTATGCATGTACACAAAGATTATTACTATGTTTAAAAAAAAAAGACGTTAACAAGATACCCGGCAGGTATTCACTTTGTATTTACATCACGTGACTGAAAAGCAACTTTCTAAACTCAATTAATAAAAACACACACACATTAAAGCACCTCACGATGACGACGATAGTACTAATGGCTCAGCGTCAATGCATGTCATCAGCTGCAAGTCAGATGAACCACGGGGCAACTGAACATTTAAAATAGGGGGCCACACTGTCACGAGTGAGGAGGTCATGGATGTCAACGCTTTGACCGTCCCTGTTAGGCGTTTCTGCATTCGCCAAAATAAATGCGTGGGGAAGCCTTCATCCAGCAGTGGACTGCCCGTACACCTGCAAAGCTTCCGCAAGAAGAAGCAGCAGAAGATGAAAGCAGTGTCGGCAACTGGTGTGCCCTGTGAAGCATCTCAGTCAGATTCTTGAAAAACAAATCTTCAGAATTGTAGCAACAGAAAATGAAAGCAACTTGTCCAGAAAATATTAGTTTTCTTATCCCTGCAGCTGTCATTTCAGATCTGCCATCTTTTCGCCACGATGTTCACCGTACAATTTGCACTCACCCATCCAGAGAAGCTGCATCGGCATTGCAGCGAGACCGGGAAACGCGTTCGTAGCGCAAACACGGTAACTGCGCTGGAAGCTCCGAGGCCTGCTCATTTCCTCGTGGAATTCCGTCCACCTTTTGAAGCCAAGCAATCCGAGTAATAATGCTTCGTGGCATCATCGTTAAATCTGTAATTGGTAGCATGGTGTAGTAAAAATAAAAACTTCGGGAAAGATTAATTGTTCTGCGTGTGTTTTCTCGCAACGGAATTAGCCCGGCAGATTTGCCACGTTGACAAAGCAGACAGCCCTTGGCAAACGTGGATTTCTCCATCAGCTAGTGGAGAGCGCCGGCTGCCCTCTGTCGAGGGCCCTCCTGCTCCGGCAAACCCGAGTCTCTCGCATCTCTGCCCCGCGTGCCCCGTGCCGCCACTCAATAGGGCCTCCACACGGACTCGGGCTCGAGCCGCGAGGGCACCGCGTCCGCCAGGCTGTTGGCGTTGCTGGGCGAGCTGCTGGAGCTGCCGTCGCCTCCGTCGGCCGTGTCCCCGTCGGGACTCGACAGTCCCGGCGTGAGCAGCACCGAGTCCCCGGCGCCCACGCACACGCCCACGCCCGTCGCGACCATCCGCCCGCCGACGGCGGACTGACGCTCGTCGCCGGCCATCACGGACAGCGAGTACGCGGGGCCGCCCGAGTGGCCGTAGTACAGCTGGTTGAAGCCCGACTGGAAGGAGGCGGAGCTCGACTGGAACGGTGCGGTGCTAGCCTGGAAGTGGGCGGGGCCCGGCTGGAAGGAGGCGGAGCTCGTTTGAAAGGGGGCGGGGCCGGCGGAGAAATGCGAGGAGCCCGACGTGAACGGAGCGGAGGCGGCGTTGAAGGGGGAAGAGCCGGCGGTGGTGAAGGGAGAGGAGCCGGTGAAGGGGGAGCTTTGGTGGCTGTGCGGAGGGGTGTGCGCCGGGTACGGCGGTGGCAGGTAGGCGTAGCGTGCCGGAACGGGCAGCCCCAGCGAGCCCGCCCCCACCTGCTGGGTCGGGTAGACGGACAGCGGCCCCGAGTAGTGCATGCGCGGGTCCGTGTTGCGGCTCGGGTCCGGCAGGTAGGAGAGGCTGGCGAACTGGCGCGGGTCGCCAAAGGGACCCAGCTCGGAGCCACCTGCACCACGACAGAGAACGGCGAATACGTGTCGTCAAATATACACACATATATATACTTTCAATACCAGGTAGGGCCCGCTGAGCCGTTTAGCTCTTTTTTAGCAGGTCATCCACTGCCGCAAGAGAGACTCGTGGGATCTGACTCAACGGACGTGCTGCTGCCCGTCGGGGTCAATGCCATTCGTGGGCTGCGGCACACAGTTCGAGCTTACGATGGCCTCTGGTAGGACGTGTGAGGAGCAGTCACACAGGTACAGGTGCAGCCCCTGCAATTGCTTGCTCAAGCCACCGCTGGTGGAAGCTCCTTCGCGAGAGGGAGCTCTAGAGAGCCCTTCGAGAGGGTATGTTTTGGTCTACTCTTCTACGCTGACCAGACGGCTTCGAAGAGGTAGAGGTACCCACACTTTATCCCACCGCGCGCGACCTTCCGATCGACACAAATCAAGCGAAAGCGACGGTGGTGGTGGCGGCGGCAATGGGATTTCGCCTGGCGGCGAGTGAATGAACCAACGAATGAGCCGGTGACGATGAACGAACGGACGGACGGGTCAATCTCATGGCTGGGCCGTGCGCGTTTTGTTGTTGTTGTGGCCGGCGGCGTCGCCTACCTGCGATGCCCACGGCGCGGCTAGGCGAGAGCCCCGCGTTTGTGTGAAGCGCCGGTGCCGCGATCTGGCTCAGGTAGGGCCCGTAGGGCTGGTCAAACGACCACGGAGGGGACGGCTGGCCATCTGCGACGCGCGCGTGAGTGCGCGGCGATGGCGTGGCGGCGAAAGGGGCACGCGGAGAGAGATGAAGAGGAGGAGGAGGGGGGGAGGAGGAGGAGGTGGAGGTGGTGTAGCGGGCGGACGGAGTCATGCGGGTGCGTGGAGCCAGGGGTGGCGTGCACAAGGATAGGATGGAGATGGAAGAAGTTAGATGTATCCGTTTGTGTGTATACATCCGTATGTGTACATATATATACGTAAATAGATGGGGATTAGAAATACCGGCATGCGTAAATGGGGAAATCGGAAGGGTGTTTTTAAGTTCCGCGCAAATATTCCAAGGAGCATCCCAGGTCAGAGAAGTATTAAAATACATCGGTGTTGATTTTTTTTACGGAAATGTTTCGAGAATAATTTTAATTGACAAGCAGAGAGGGTGCACAATGAATGGCACGGACGATAATGCGGGTGGAGGGGGTTGGAATAGAGGTACATTAATCGTGGTTTATAAATAAATATATAGAGGAAGGGGGGTAAAACAGACAGATGGACAGAGAGAGAGAGACACACACACAAACAGGGGTGGGGTAGACACAGAAGCAACACAGATTAGCATTTAGGCCACATTGTACACAAGCAAAGCGAACGCAAACGTTAGTCAGACGACCGCCACACATCAACTGTGCAGCAAACGCTCATCTCTCTACAAATACCAAGGACAAAGATCCCCCGTGTGGCTTTAACAGCATGTAGGGGCAAGTGCTGCTAGCGGGAACCTATGAAGGCCGGTAACGGCACACGAGGGGGTGGGTGGCCAGCACCACGCCCGACCGCCTTTGTCTCCCCAGTGGCGATGTTTACACACCGCACCAGGTACTCATCTTGAGGCCCAGGACCGATTCAGATAATCGTCACTGGTGTTGGCCGTGAGAGCGGGAATTGAACCTGGGTCGCCGAATTCATAGCGCAGCGCGCTAACCGCTACACTACTGCTCCCCACTTACCAACCACACACACAGAGACTAACACACACACACACATAGCAATAAGGAGAATCCACTCCACCTGCAGAATCAAGATATTATTGTTTGTCCAGCAGGATCCTACGCAAGGACTTGTTTGGCTAATCCACTTCCAGGGAGTAAACTAAAGGACCCTGGAGAAAACCCACACGCGCAGTACGAAGTCGAACAACATCAACAACAACAACATCAACAATAATAACGACGACGATGCCAATTCATTGCGCACGGGGTGGCGGGGTGGGAAACAACGAAAGAAACCCGCTTCTGTGAACCCAGCCCCTGACGCGACGCCGTGCTGCTGCTGAGGCCACGCGGACGGGGCCGCGGGCCACAGAGGGGCATTGTTGCGTGTGACAGCCCTCGGGAGGCAGCCGCGTCGCCGGGGCAAACAAAAAAACCCACAAACCCGCCGCAGTTGAAAGCGCCGCTCGCAAATTACGCCGATGCCCCTGGCTGGCCGCCCCGGGCCAGGAGAGACAATGCTGGACACAGCCCCGTAGCCTCGCCTTGTCCTCCTGTCCCTCACTGTTAATCAGACCCCATGAAATAGCGATTGTCCCAAGATGAGGTCCACGTGACGACATTCTCCCGCGTTGTGCCTCTGCGCTAGTTCCTACGGCGCAGGTCAAAGGATGCTCGCCCCCTCCCCTCCCCCGTTTTTTAATGACTACAAAACACGAAGTCAGCAGAATCACGCCGGGATGCCTCCACTGCGACATCGACGGAGCGGACGCGCGTGTGTCCACGCACGCTGATGGCTACGTACGGCGCGCAAGAAGTTCACCAAACATACACGCGGAGCCCCCCTTTTGTTAACTCGCTGCAGGATTAGGGCCCCCCCCCCCCGCCCACTGCCACGCGGGCCTCTAGGGCCACGTGGCCAAACTTCACGACGCGAGTCGACAGGCGACGGTGAAGGGAGCGAGCGAGCGAGCAAGCGTGGACGTGGATGCACAGCAACGGGGGTTCTTTCCTGCGCCGTCCTCTGCTGCCCACGACCACGCAAGCAGCGCCCGCAGCGCCTGCAGCGCCTGCAGGGCTCGGTGGTCGCCCCGTGCGACCGCCGTGCCCTGCTCCAGCATCCTTGGAAAGGCATTTCAGGTGGTTTGATTTATGACCACTGCCAAGCTCCACTTCTCGCAGTGAGAATGTGTTTGTCCTTTAGTCTTTTGATCGAGCAAAGACTCTCCGAGTCTCAAGATTATTTTTCAGGAGAGTCCTGCATTGGCTATTGTCTGACCAATCACTCGAGCGGCGTTTTGTGTTCGAGTAATCGTAGGTGCCAATGACTAAACCACACGGAGCGCGACTGATCTCATCAGAACTCGCAAGCCAAGCGGGTTTGAGCCTGGGCAGTGCTCGGTTGGTCGACCGCCTCCACCGGGCATAAACCAGGTGCTTGAGGCTGTGGTGGGGCAGCTACTGTTATGGGCAGGAGATGGCAGGGCAGCAATCTCCGTTGCTGTACCGTACTATGCGTACGCGTCTATGCTCCCCCCTGCCTTCAGCTACCTGCGCCGAGCAACGTCGTCTGAATTGCGGTCAAACGACCCCCTGCAACCCGCACGGAGTGGGGAGGCACTCATCCAGCAGCGGAGTGGCAATCACGGCTGAGTGCACGCTGCATGCGTGTACAGCGCACGCAGACGTACGGTAGGCGACGGAGGATGTGGAGAGCGCGGCTCTCTGAGTAAATAGGCTAAGGTGACTCGGCTCTCTGAACAGACAGGTTAACCCTTTGGATTGTAATAAAAGCTAAAATAAAACAGCTTTATCGGTACAAAGGCTCCCACAAGGCCATGCGGGAGGGCGTGTGGCACAGTTTGGCGCCAACTATCGAAGAGTGCGGTCGTGTCGCTACGGTTCTCCGCGGTGAGTAACAACGTCTTTAAAAACAACGGCGCTACGCCTCTCTAAGAAACATGAACCCTGAACCGCTTGCGTGTTCCGAGATTCGGCGGCGAACGGGACACCACCCACCGTGCAACTCGCAGTACATCTCGGAACGGGAAAGGGTTAAGGTGAATTGGCTCCCTGAGCAGACGGTTAAGGTGACTCGAAATCTCATAACCCGCCCTTGGCTCCACGCCCCGGCTACCCGGAGGGTTGATCGGCAACCGCCGATGCGCTTGGCGTTCGCGCGCGCGGACGAGGCCATTCCTCGCGGTGGATCTTTATTGCTTAAATAACCGACGCGCGTTAAATGTTTCATGCCGGTTTTGATGGCTCCGCCGTAAACTTTATGGGGAAGTTCCATAAAAGCTTTGCTTAACATTTCACATTAATGAAGTTGTGCGGGTTATTTGGAAAGCTTTTAATACGGGGTCCAAACTGTTCTGCTGGCACGTGGACGCAGACGGGACGATGCGTCTGGCCGGTGGCGGTCTGCGCTGGATTTACTGCCTCGGCTTTAATATTTAATGTGGCCTAAAAGCCAAAACATGGGCCTTTGCAGTCAGCCTAACCGGGCAGCCACTGCCCCCAACACGAATGAAACAGCTATTGATTACGAATTAAAGAGCGTACACTTAGTAAATATCAGACAGCGCCCAACCTCCCGCCCCTTCCTTTATCTGCCCCTCCCCTAAAAAAGAAACTCCCCACCACGTTCGCGAACGTTGCCCCGACGTGAGGGTCAGGGCAGGGAGTTCGACCACCTGGCCTCGGGCTTGTCGTCCGCGGAACATCTGTAACGCCCCCTCCTCTCTGCCCGTCTCTCGTGCTCTGTACCCGGCTCGTGTTTAGCAATACAAATATAAGTAATACTTATTAAAAGTATCAAGACAGCGCCGGATTGAGGGCGTCAACGGGGCACGGCGCTGTCGATTTGATTTTCGCACCGCTGCTCAAGTCCGTGATGCACGATCGGGGCCCAGTTTCTCGGTTGTCGTGGATTATCGGCGTGGGGCCCTTTCATAATCCCACATCATTGTATGACCTTAATTCCCATAAATCCTCTGCACAGGTTAAGGACAATCTAAGATGGCGAGATGGATGCGGTGGTGGGTGCCAAAATGATTTCCGGGACGGCGTTTCCGGAGCGTTCCGGCAGAAACGAAGCGCTGTGCGTAATGTGCGAGTTTGCTCTTCGAGGAAATGTTGTGGCACGTGGCCGATTTGTGATGAGAAGTGTTCACGCGAGACGCCTACGCGCTGCTGATGTTACCGGTGAGCCTCGTTCATGAAACACAAGCCAAAGCAGTGTGATTGTGGCCGTGCAATCCAAACTATACACCTCGTAGTAAACCCATAGATATTCATAGAGGTACACAGAGACCCACGGAGACTAAGAGTGACCCATTGAGACACATAGCATCACAGAGATCCATAGAGATAATGACCCATAGAGACACACAGAGATACGTTGAGGATCATATGGATACATAGTGACCAACAGAGACACATAGAGATACATGCAACCCAAACTATCAAAGCCACTGCAGGAATATTCCTGTTTTCAGGTGGGTCATGCTTGGGACATGACCCTCCTGTTGTGCGTGGGAAGATGTCGATGGAAATTTCGCGTGGAGCTATAACTCTTTTTTTGTGTATCTCAAGATCGGCTGCCCGTGACCCACTCGGCATTTGCAAGGTCACCCTCGCACAGTAACCCAGACCTGCAGTGTTGCGGGGGCTGCAGGGGGCTGAGCCCCCCCCCCCACCCCCCGCTGAAGGCGAACTAAAACTATGAAACAAACTATTTTTATTTTACCAGGTAAGGGCCACTGAGCTATGTAGCAATTTTTTAAGAGCGACTTGGCCACAAATCATAGCTCAACCCAAGTGGCTTTTCGTGTGGAAATCTATCGCAGCCAAATACTCTAAACGAGTGATTCTGATTATAAATGTGGAGACAAAAACCGCAGGACCCTGATAAAAATCCGAACGATCACGGGGAGAGAGACACGCAAACTCAAAATATACAGCAGGTGTCAGGGTAGAGCTCGAACCCACGACCTCCGGCATACCAGGCGAGGTAGTTAACATCTCCCAGCCACCGTGGCGCCGTCCTTTCTAAATGATTACAGTTGACTAAAACATTTGGTACAACATTTAACAATTAAGCAGCGGGCATCACAACCGTTCCTCCCATACTTAGGGGCGACGAGAGCTGCAGCGGAATGCACGATGGACAAAAGCAGATTGTATCATTACTCGTCCTGCTCAGCGTTCAACGTTGACTGTGTTACGCCCCTCCCGCGCCTCCTCACCGCCCCCCCCCAACGTTTTTGTCTGGCCCCCCACCCATTTTTTAAACAAGGTCACGCTACAGCGCTGCTGCATTCCTCCTCGAGCAGTTCCTCTGCACTTGTAGGAGGGTTCAGGCGAACTGCGCTCTCCAACAAGTGCAGATCCTCTGCACTCCAACGGCGGATGTAACGTGCGAACACTTGACGCGCGGAGAGGCGCGTGAGTTAATGTCGATGAAAAATAAATATGCCAAACGGATTTCGAGCGACTGGTGTGGGGAGATGATATGAAGGAAAACAACGAGCGGTTGTTACCCCCACTTTACGCAGCTCGTAAAGAAATAACCGGCTCGGCTGTACATTTTATCGCGGGCGAGCTGGAGATGTTTGTTTGAGCGCTGGCTGCAGTTACGCTCCGCGCATCGCCGGTACGGCACACAAGAGACGGAGCCGGGGGTGCATTAGTCAAACAGCTGTCGGACCGCACACTAAAGTCTAAAAGGGCGAGTCTGATGCTCGGCTGTCACAAAACAAAGAAAAAGTCTGGCCGACCTCCAACACTTGTTAGATAAAGCTGTGAGAAACTCGGCGGACGGACCAAGATTCGGGCAATTTCCATCGCCGTAGCTCGCGGATCGTCGGCGCGAAGTCAAAGAGCGGCGTGGGCGGCGCTCGCTGCGGACCCCACGGGGAGCGCCGTCGACCGTAGCGCGGTGCACCAGTCGGTTGGTGCAGAGGGACGTCGTGTCGGAGTGCCGGCAACGGCCGTCGTGGCTACAGCGACCCCTCTCCAGATGCGTTCTCGGGTTGCGCCCCCCCCCCCGCCACGGTCCGGCAACGCGCAACCGGCGCAACTGGCGTGACCGCGATTGCCGCGACAACTCGCGCGGCAGTGGCAGCAGCTCCCCGCTCTTAAACGTGACCGAGAATTGTAAGGTCACGAAGGTCAAATCCCGGCCAGGAATCGAATCATCATTCCATTACCGCGTTATTCATCCCGGCGGGCGGGGGGGGGGGGATAAAGCTAAATCCTGTTTGCGGCAAGTGAACAGCGGTTATCCGATGGATGACGCTCCCCTCTGACATAGTAATGTGGAATTTCCATCGCTGGCATGGTGCCACAAAAGAAGGGAGATGAGCGCTGCTTGTCGGATACTTTTTTTGTCCGCACGCCCTTCTTACACATTTAATTTCGAGACCGCATATTTGTTCTGCGAAGAAATGAGTTTCTTTACACAAAAAAGGCCATTTGAAATACGAGCGCGGACCGTGCTCGTTGTTTCCTGCGAGGGGTCTGGCTGGCACGCCGAGGCCCCGGGTTCCCAGAGATTGTGTTTGGTGATGGCGCAGACGTTTTTTTGGCAGGCGCTGCGGCGAGGCCGATACCGACGACGGGCGTGAAGTCTGGTGCTGTCTGAGTTGTCCCGACAACAACCGCATATTATGGGATTTAAGTCATTCTCGATTATGGTACCGCGACAGGGCTGTCTGCATTTCTCCAAAGAAGAAGAAAAAAAATGTGACTGACGATACGACCTACCCCGAACTCCATAAAGAATTTTTTTTTTATATAAAAACCCACCCAGGTTGTTATTTTGTTAAATAATGAAAGCTCAAAACTTACACGCGAGCGGCGATCTCAATACGCGTCCCCCCGCCACAGTTGAATGCTGTAGATTGTGTGGGACTTTTTGAACCGGTGCTTCGACTCGAAAACGGAGGGCGTCGTGTGCGTGGTTTGTTAACCGCTGGGAAAAGTTCAAGCAATAAACAAAGATGGCGTCGTGAAGTGGCTGTCATCCAGCAGTGGATTGACATGCATCCTCATATTAATATCGCTTTGCGAAGTTCTTGCTGGATGAAGGGCCTATCCACGCCATGTCGATTATGGAGATTATTTGAGCAGGTCAGTAGCGCGGCTTGCAAAAGGTTGCCCAGGACCATGGCCAGAAAATCGAAGCGCAGGTCTGTCCGTCCATGCTCACTTAAAAGTGCCCGTTCCTTCAGCCTTGTAAAACGTCAGCTGATTGCCCTTTTGGTTGAGCTCCCATTGAAAGTGAACGTTTCAAAGCTTCCAGCGGTTTCTTTTTTTTTTTTAAGTCAGCGGCAGAAACACAAAGGGGAGCAGAGCGAAATGTCTCACGGAGGGCGACACCTTGATGAACGCCTTCGGCGTTAAGGGTCGGTCAGGTTGCGCGGAGAGCTTCGGGGACGGCGATTCAGACGTGAGGAGGCGATTGGGCGCGTGGCGCACCGCGCGTACGCAAGCGGCAGGGGTTGTGCGGTTATGACATTAAAGGGTTATGCGGCTCACCACATCCCGGGCGTGTGTGTGCCTCTGCATGCAGGGAACACGGGGCACGGCGTGTGTGTGCGAGCGTGCTCGTGCGTGTATTCATGCGCGCACGTGTAAGCGCGAGTGTGTACGTGAGTGGGTGTAAAATATCGCCGCTCGGAACAAAAAAAGGTGGTTGGGCGTGGTGCTGGCCACCCACCCCTGGCCTTCATAGGTGCTCGCTAACAGCACTTTCCCCAAGTCTGTTATGGCTATACGGGTAATCTTTGTCTTTGTGTGTAGCGATGAGCATTTTCTGACGCACCAAATCAAACTTGATTTGGCGCTTTCGTGACTGCAGGAATTGCTCAAATCATTTGGGATGACCCAGGTCCATTTGGGATGACCTGGGTCCAATTCCCACTCCCGGCATACATCTGCACCGGTTGTGAGCCTCCCCTCGGTTGGTTCCAGCCAAAGTGGGCCGGGTGCGTCGTGCCGGCCACACGACCCCGGGTGCGTCGTGACGGCCTTCATAGCTGCTCGCTCACGACACTCGCACACGCGGCCTGCGCTGGCCGCGTGAACGTGCACCAATGGCACTCCGCACCGGGCGGACCGCCAGACGTGGCTTCGTTCGCTCGCCGCCGCTTGGTTCCAGTGTGTCTCGGTGCTCAACTTGACCCATCATCCTTACAGGGTCGATAAAATCCGTACTCGTGTGGAAAGTCCGCCGCAGTGCTGCTAACTGGGACTGGGGTCCCGGCGATCTGCACTCCTCTAGCGATGCCAGGCGGCAACTGCCAAGAGGCAACGTCCCTCGGGAGGGCTCGTCCCGGAACTCACCGCTTTTAGTTTAGGAGCCTATTTAACAATATATATAAATATATATAAAACGATATATATGCTCTGTATTTTCTCTGGTGATATTCAGGTTCTCATGTCGGAGGTGGATCATCTTCATCCACCCCCCCCCCCACGTGTGAATTGTCCAGGTGGCAGTACAGCAAGTGGGTTCACGATCTGTTCGTCGGGGAGTGTTGGATGTTCGCATTGCCTCGCACGTGAAATTGGTTCTATTATTATTTTAGTGACGTCCACCCTCACTAAAATAATAAACAATCATAATGTACAGCCGTTTGTCAAGCTCTCGTAATCCTGCGTCGTAATAATCCACCTGGCACCTGCACACGGACCGATGTCATCACTTCATCTCCCCGGTAAGACGCCCACCCCCCATCTCCAAGGGATTCCGTTCATCAGCCGTCCCCCCGCTACTGTTCTTGACTATCGGCCACGATCCCTTCCAGCGGCGGGTCCCGCTCAACCCCGGCAAGACGAGCGTCGCCATCGACCCGCACGCTCTCCGGGCCGCGTCACCGCCCGACCTCTCAGTCGCTTTCCCGAAATCAAGCCCCGAGCCCCACCCCCCCCCCGTTCGTGACCTTGCCGAGCCGTGTGCCTACCCCGGGGTCTGTGTTGCGGGATCGCTGAGCGAGGGAGGAGCGTGCAAGAGGGAGGCCGGGTGCGAGGGAGGTTGTGTGGGTGGGCAGCAATAGGTCGGTGGGGCTCTGCCCGGTAGGGTGGGGACGGCCGAGTTGAATTTGTCTGCGTTTGGGCCATTTGTTTGCCCCGTGCCCCTACGGGACATCCGTGAGAAAGAGCTTTACAGCTCATCGGATTCCTCCAGTATGAATAAATATTGTGATTTTGATAGGTCGGTAAAGAGGGGGGGGGGGGGAGAGGGGGTGGGGTTGGGGGCCCGTCGTGTACCTGTCTGTGCATTGTAGTGGGGGGGAGGGTTAAGAGGCGGGCGGAGGGCCGGCGTTGGGGGCGGCACGTGGTGCGCCCCCACGCGCAGCGCCGTGCGCCGCAGGTGCTCCAACTCACTCAGCCGCTCGGAGAAGGAGAGCGCCTTGCCAGCGTCCTCCAGCCGCTGCCTGTGCCCTGCGTGGGGAAGGGGGGGGGGCGGCAGAGAGAGAGAGAGGGGGGGCGGCGGAGCGGTTCTTTAGCGGCGAGCCACATTTTGGATGAGAGCGCACGGAGGGTGAGCGCGGTGGAACCGGTGGCACGGCGAGGGTGGGGCGAGCACCCCCGGGCGCCCCTCCCGTGGGGGGCTCTGGCCGGGTTCTTGGGTTCTTGGAAGCGAGCGGTGGCGGTTGGTGGTGGCTCTGAACTTTGGTGGTGCGGTTGTGTTGTTTTGGCGACGCAAGAGCATTTGCTTGCACATGAAAGCAGATTTGAAAACGCACGGGAAAAAATACCAGAAGCGCTGTGGCCTTTCAGTCCAGAGCCAATAACGGTGTAATTTCGATATGCGTGTGTGTGTACGTGTGTACGTGTGTGCGGGTGCCATTGTATGCGTTTTGGAAAGACGCTACTGGGCAGTTGGAGACCGTCGACCACCAGCAACAACGGAGGGTAGGGGAGCGACGCTCACAACAACGAGTGGTGCGACGGGCGGATAAAACACAGCAAGTTGGCAGAGTAGGGGGCACAAGCGGTGCAACTGCCGGTCATCTCAGTCAGTCAACCCATGGCACCTGGGTCTATCCCGTGACCCCTGCCAGCGGGTGTACAACACTTCACGTGGACTTAGAGTGCACATAGCCTGGCACAAGCGACGTGGTGACAACACCACCACTTAGTGGAAAACGGCGATTGTTGTTGTTGTTGTTGTAATGGAATCACTTGTCCTTGAATACATTATTGTATTCACGGAGGCGCATGACATGAAGTGGGGGGGGGGGAGAGGGTAGGGGGCAGGCGAGCGAGATCGGCACCTCGTGAGCGATGCCTCTCCAGGCCGGGCTCCACAATTAGCCAAAATTCGATGGTAAACTGGACGGCAATGCGAACTTTAAAAAATAAAAAACCCCCAAGACACCAACCAGGAAAGTGTCCACGTGCTCACGAACCTGCCGGCACGGTGCGAGGCCACGGCGTGCTCACTGCCACGACCGCATCCATTATGTAGATTTATCGTCAGTGTTCAGGACGCCGCTCAGAGCCGGTGAGGGCCTCTCCCAACAACAGTTGGGTCCCAGCTGGGAGAGGTTTTCACGGAACTCTGCCGCGGTACCGGTGAGCTCCTGAGTTCACACCTGGGTATCCGAGTGCCCGTGATTAACCCGTGTGTTGACGAGCAGAGCGGGGTAGGTGGCCTTGTACTGTAGCTACAAGGTGGCCCGTGTGGGAGGCCTGAGAGCGGCGTTCTTCACTGCAAGGCCCGCGGGTCTACTGGCAGGCCCTGGTGGCTCTTAGTGCGGCCCGCGACAAGACGCAACACGTGACAACACCCACATCGTGCTGTAAAAACCCCCACGGTTTCAAGTCGTGCACGTCACACACACACTTAGACAACACGCGCGAGTCGCGTTGCGCCACAGTCTGCGCGATCAACGTGCACGCGGCACGGACTGTGTGCGCGTGCACGCGGCACGGACTGTGCGCTGCTGTGCGCGTGCACGCGGCACGGAGTGTGCACTGCTGTGCGCGCTGTGCACGTGCACGCGGCACGGACTGTGTGCGCGTGCACGTTCACGCGGCACGGACTGTGTGCGCGTGCACGTTCACACGGCACGGACTGTGCGCTGCTGTGCGCGTGCACGCGGCACGGACTGTGCGCTGCTGTGCGCGTGCACGTGGCACCGAGTTGTTCGCGAGGGCGATCGAGACGAACGCGGTCACCTAGGGGGTGGCCGGGCAGCTCAGAGGTCAGAGCGCCGAGTTGGCACCGCTGAGCTCCTGGTCTCAACCCGGGCAGCTTCCCGCGATTAAACCGCGTTGTCACATGCAGCGAGTGGATGGTCTCAGCCCAGTCACCGATGACTGCACACACAAAAATAACATTAAATTTGGATTTTGCAATCGATGTATTTTTTCCCCCGGCTAAGTTTCAGTCCTCTGAGAGTTACGAATATTTTATGAAGTTTTACCACCGTCGTGTATGCGACAAAGCACACATCCTGCTTTGTTAAATGAGAAAACTAAAATTGTCCACTTGAGGAACCCGTTCAGAAGTTCTGTAACAAACAAAACACAAATCTCGAGCCACCGGTGAATCTCCGACACACTCGGTGCCACTGCTCAGGGAAACTTTGGGTAAATGCATCCTTAGCAGTGATTTCAGACAAATACTTTCATTAAAATAAATCACGACGACGTTTCGGGCGCAACACAAGCATCCATCATCGGGTGGGAAAGCGTGGTCTGCTGCTGAGGCAGACTGTAAACAAAAAGTATGGATTCCTGCAGTCGCGAAAGCTTCAAATCAAGATTTGTTTGTATTTAGTTTTTTCTCCTCCCCCCGCACTTTTGATTAGCGTGGTTGGCTACGTACGGTGCGAAAGAAGTTCAGCATAGGTACGTACTGAAGCCCTCTCGTCGTAGCCAGCAGACCTGAATATTGAGTATTTCGCTCCTGAACGTGTTTCCGCCATCATTCGCCAGTGCAGAACAAGGCCGGTTATATCCACATCAACAACAACAACAAACAACATGTGGTGGGCGTTGAACACGGAACGCCGGAACTCTGGGGGCATTTCTGAGCTGCGTGAGCAAAAACAAAACCCTTAAAAACGCTCCCCATGAGTTTCCATCGCTTTCATTGGCTCATGAGGACCCCTTCTAAGGTTTAAGAGAATAATGAAACGCAATCCTTGTAAAAAACGAAACATAACAAAAAAAAAATCCACGCACAAATTAGTTAATATATACACAGACAAAGGTCCGCCATACAGTCTTAATCAATGTTTGGGGCAAGTGCTGTTAAGAAAGCACCTATGAAGGCTGCCATGGCACACGAGGGGGTGGGTGGCCAGCACCACGCCCGGCCGCCTTTGCCTTCCTCGTGGCGATGTTGTTTACACACCGCACCAGCTACTCATTTGAGGCTGAGTCGACCTTAGGGGGCCATCCATTGAGTAGGTACGCACAAATCTGTCTAAACTTGACCCCCCCCCTCCCTGTATGTACGCCTGACGCACCCCCCGAATCCTATAGAACGGCCGATATTTAATCCACGCAGAAACGATCAAGGATTAATAATATTAAAGTGTTTAAGCAAACAAACAGTCCACCGCCGGACTATCTAACTCATTTGAAGGCCAAAGTAGACAAATTATTATCGAGGCTTCACCCCCTCCCCCCCGTTTCCTGCCGGTCAGTAGACCCCCCATACGCAAGCGCACGCATTTGGGTTAACCCCCCCTCCCCCCTCCATGCGTACGTACTCAATGGATGGCCCCCAGGGAGGCCCAGGATCGGCCGAAGACCGTTCCACCGGAATTGGCCGTGGGAGCGTGAAATCGAACTTGGGTCTCAGCGCTCTAACCGCTGCGCCACCGCTCGCTCGCACGTACACACACACACGCGCGTGTGCCCGCACGTGTGTGTGTGTGTGCTACTCTGTGTGAGCACCCGAGCGGAGCGCACAGCGAAGGCAAACAGCGCACAGACCGGCCGACGCCTGCCAGCTACACGGGCCGCACGCCCGCTGGGTCACAAAGCCGCTCCACTCAATCCCCTTCCCTCGTGCGGCAAGCGGTGGGAGATGGGGAGGAGGAGGAGGGGAAACAAAATAATAACAACCCACAAGAAGAATTATTTCTGCTCGGCATATTTTTTTGGTTATTGCTACCCATTACGGTACGTTTATTTATTATTTTAACTTCGTGTGCACGCACGCACGTGTCGTGCTGTGCGGTTGTACCGCCGCGAGGGCGAGATGTTAACTACCTCGCCTGGTGTACAGGAGGTCGTGGGTTCGATCCCGACCCTGACGCCTGTCTATTTGGAGTTTGCCTGACTCTAGTTTTATCAGGTAAGGCTCACTGAGCTACGTAGCTGTTTTTTTAGAAGTGACCCGGCCACACATTATAGCCCAACGAAGTGGCTTATCACGTCGAAATTTGTAGCAGCAAAATACTCCAGAGGCACATTGATTCTAAATGTGGTGGGAAAACCCAGAGGATCCAAAAAAAAAATCCACGCGACCACGGGGAGAGAAACACCCAAACTCTAAATGTGCAGGTGTCAGGGTCGGGATCGAACCCACGACCTCCTGCATACCGGGCGAGGTGGTCAACACCACGGCGCCCTCATAACGGCGGCGATTTGTCCCTAGAGTTTCAAGCTATGAAGCCAACTTGCTCGTGCAGGATGTAAACTTCCACGCGGGTGGACAGAGCAGCGGGCGAGTGTCGGCCCTCTGTCGGCGCTTTCCGACTCGCGCGCGCGTCACGCCGCGCCAGCCAGGGCCGCGTTTTGATGTCTCGCAATGAAAGCGCCATTCAAATGCCGAGTTGTCGTTTGCTCGCAAAGGAACCTGCGCTGGGATGGGCCGCCTGGCTGAGTACACACGCACGGCCACACCCGTCTGACGACGCGGCTGATGATGCTGCCACTGCTGCTGCTGATGCCACTGCTGCTGCTGATGCTGATGCTGCTGATGCCACTGCTGCTGATGATGCCACTGCTGCTGCTGATGCCGATGCCACTACTGATGCTGCTGATGCCACTGCTGCTGATGATGCCACTGCTGCTGCTGATGCCACTGCTGCTGATGATGCCACTGCTGCTGATGATGCCACTGCTGCTGCTGATGCCACTGCTGCTGATGATGCCACTGCTGCTGATGATGCCACTGCTGCTGATGATGCCACTGCTGCTGCTGATGCCACTGCTGCTGATGATGCCGATGCCACTACTGATGCCACTGCTGCTGATGATGCCACTGCTGCTGCTGATGCCACTGCTGCTGATGATGCCACTGCTGCTGATGATGCCACTGCTGCTGATGATGACACTGCTGCTGCTGCTGCGCGTTTTGGAAACAGCGCACACAGAGACGCGGCGCGGCCCAGCTGACTGGCAACACCTCGCCCCGCTCCACGTGGACTCATCACGCAACGGCGGCGGGCGCGGGGGGGCCTGGGGGGGTGGGC